TTGTCATGGAAACTGAAATGATGAAGTGCCTTAATATCTATCTGCTACCAAAGAGATATACAGTGTTCCTTTATATCTTTGCACTAATTAAAATCTAAAAATGTGCCGTTACAGAAGAAACAGATTCAGTATATTAAATAATATAGGCTTCAAACAACAAAATCAGCTAAAACATACAGAACTTTGTGTTCAATCTCCTGAAAAGCTCTGTGCAAAATGAAATTCTGTAATACCTATTGTCTTAATTGTCAGCTCAGAACAGCAATAACAGCCACGATATGTGGTGTTTCCTGGGAATTCGTTACCAGTTGGGGTCTCTTCAGTAAGATGCAAAGCAGCTTCATTTTACTGTGACCACCAGACCTTAACAGCAGCTTGGTGAGTTTATTATTTTCATTTGTAACTCTGCATTTTCTGCCATGTGTTTTCAATAATAAGTTTCTCCCAAGGACTTTGAATTTCAATTGCAAATAAAATGTTGACAATGCTTTTGGATATATAAGTTGTAACACTTATCAGTGAGATATTAGATGGGCCATTTCCCAGCAATAACAACTTAATAACAGCTTAGCAGGAGTTTTTTGCTATCTGCAGGCTAGATTATGTTTATTTTAAATTGATAACAAGGGCCAGGTGGCTGTTTATAAGGGCAAGATATGAATTACAAGCATATGTTTCCAAGGCAATGTTGGCCAGTGGCTGTGCAAGCATAAATTGCTTCCTATTACCACTTTTGATAGGAGGGACATGGTACAGTTCATCTCCATGGGAACACAATATGGCAGGACACCTCTGTGATTTACTCTTTGCACTATTTCCAGTTTAAAAAAAAAGCAATATTTACTCCATTGAGACACTACTAATTGAAATTGCAGTGGGTAATTTTGTTGTGTTGTTGATCAAGGATTAGGAATAGTCTCCCATACTGTTGTGTAGTATTCCCCAAAAGGGCTACGTCCTTAGCATGGAAGATACAAGGAGAAATTATGAAGTCGGTAATACGGCCTACAGGAGAGAAAAGTGAATTGATGCTTTGGAAAAAAAATGGGCTTCCTCAATAATAATAATAGGGATAGTACCTCTCTAAGCTTTAGTCATTTTAGCTGTGAAACAGGTAAGATGCAGACCTTCCAGAAGTCATTATTAGGTTGTGACATTAGAATGAAATTATTTCTGGGTTTCTGTTTGTTTCTAAAAGGACAAGACGGAAGCTGATTACAGTATGGCTAAATTTTTACTAAATCTGGAGGGAGAATATGGGAAGGGAGGAGGAGAGAGTATTTGTCCTGCCTGAAGGAAGGAAGAAGGCCATGTCTAAAAATCTGCCGTGTTATGTCAAAGCAGGAGCTGCTTGCTGCCTTTGTTTTAATGTGCTCTAGTTGATTTTATCTTATTTTTTTTTCAAGGCATAGTAATAATGGTTCAGGCAAAATGGCTTGTCTAGCAAATTGCTTACCATTTTCGTATAATCCAAGAGGCTGTTTTGCTGATGTCCTGTAGTATGCTGACTATGAATCTGCAGTTTAAATCAATTGCTCCAAGTACATGAGAAAGAAGGAATCAGATATAATCTGAAAACAAAGGACAAGTAGTTCTTCTGTGAACGTAGTTTTAAGGTTATAAGTTTTTTGGCAGGAGAGAACCAGGCCTGTTTTTTTAACAAAAGCTCTGAAAAACCTGATCACCCCTTTTCTAGATAGTATAGTTTGAATTTGCTTTTCCTAGAATGGAAAATAGATTGAAAGGGATGTGGGGTTTTTTAATTGAATTGCTTGAAGGCTTTTTTTTTTTTTTTTTGTCTTAAGCTTATGTTTTCTGTACTTTGGAAGAACAATGCTATGCAAGGGCTGTTCAGTACAGTCTGGTGGAGCCAGCTCTTTAAAATCCACTACTCCGAGCTCTGTTCCCCATCTCTGCTGCCTTCTCTTTAGGAACCTCATCATCTATATTCAGCATCCGCCTGCTTACACTTAAACCTAGAGACCTCTGCCCTGGGATCCATTCCCCAAAATAACAGTGTATTATTAAGCTGACAGCATGTCACGGATACCATGTTTGTTCAAAAATATGTCTCATCAGCAATTACATTCTTCCTGTAAGATGCTTATCCTCAAGTTAAAGTGGTGTACGTCTGGAGTACAATAGTACAAATTTTAAGACCTACCCACAGCAGAGCTTGTATTCTTTCAGTATTAACAATGTAGTAAGGTACCATACACTCTACATTTTTCATCCTACTCCTGCATCAATGCACTGTAAACGAGCATAAAAATGATTTTATCAGTGTTTCTTATTTTCCAAAGGTTGGGGGGGACTGTTGACCTTCCCGTGTTCATTCTTTGGATTTGCCTCAATAAAACTAAATCACAGGTGTGGAGGGGGCAGCACTTCACCTATTGGATTATTTCTTACTTAATAGGTGACATATGCTTAGTTCTCTGTATTTCTGATGAGGTCTTAAGCTGATGCCAATTAGTCTTCTGAAAACTGACTATAGGCACCTAAGTCTCGATGATTTTAAGACCTGTAGCAGCAGAGCAAACAGATTACAGTGGAAATACTAGACAAACATAAAATGTTGTTTTGAACAAGGTGAAGATGGAGAACTGACCACACCTGCTTACCACGCAGATGCTGTGCCAAGGACAAGCTCAGAGAGCTGATATCAGGAACTTGCAGTACAGTGACACGTTTAAGATTAATGTCTCGCAGGTTGCTAAAATAAACCAGCGTGACGGTACAGCACTGCATTTTACATGAAAGAGTGCGGTATAGCTTTATGCAGATTGGGCTATGATAAGGTTGTTAGTAATCAGCTCATTTCAAAACAGTATGCTGAGCAAAATAGAGAATTCACCTTGGTTTCTGAAAGAGGTTTGAAGGCTATATAAAATTGGTTCTGGTTTTGAAACCACCTTGGCAGTTACTAGTTTTCGGATTACTTTTTTGAGGGTAACATGCACAGCTGCTATGTAAAGAAGCAGGCTTTCTGGGTACACAGCATCTCTGAAAATCAGATTCCTTATTTTTCCAAGTTCTCCTTTGCCATTGTGGGTTTGGGTTTAATATGCTGGCATTAACAACACAGCATATTTAATGCATTAGGGGACAGCAGAAGGAATGTTACTGTTCTACTTACTGCATCTTTCTTTTCTGTCATTATCTGGGGCCCACTGAAACCATCAGGGTTCCCTGGCTGGGTTTTGTGGGTGTTACCCAGCTAAAGATCTTCAGCCATTACCACGCAGGCTTACCTGTAAATTTCAGAATACCGAGCCTCTTCGCTATTCTATAGGGGTGCCAGGCTGCAGAAAAAGTATTTACTTGCTTCCTTATTCTGGTATATTTGTTTTCCCTAATTCTCTGCCACATCATAACTAAGGAAAGTAAATCTAATGACTAAGTAATCTCTCGCGTTGGATTTTGGTTTAGATTTCTTATCAGCTTCCGTTGTGTAAATAGAGTCTGACTCATGGGAGAAGAACTGTTATCAAATGTATGTTTCTTTGAAAGTTTTGGTAAAATATAATAATTTATAAAGTTTTTCTACATCTTAAGCCAAGTTTCGCTCATGCCACACTTTCCTGAATGGACAGAGCTGGTGGGGCTGAATGGACAGTCAGTAAAGCTGGTGGGGCTTTACTGACACCCCTGATTAATGTTTCCAATTCTTTCTTTATTTTTTTAAGTATAAAAACCTAATTTTAAGTATAACACCTAACTGTGTTAGGTGGAAGAAACAGTACAAATCTGCAAAAGATTTAGCATGTTGTTCATGTATTAAAATTGCATGTGTATGTGTGGGGAGGATGTACATGGGCAGTGATACCACAGAACAGTATTAACCATTACAGCTCTTGCAGAGTTGCCTAGAAACTGTCTCTAGATGAGAAGTGTTGTAGTAAGTCAGATTCCTAAGAACTTGGGCACCTAATAATTTAAAATATTACTTCCCAAAATATGGATCCATTAAGTGCCGTCTTATCTTGCAGTTGCAGAAATTTCTTAGAGCTGTAGGTACCCCAGAGGTCTGCTGCCATTCAGAAACAGAATTACCGTGTCTTTGCCCGGTATCGGTGCTAGTCCCAAATCACAGCAGGATTTAGAAACAAGGTATTTTACCTACTGGTATCTAATCCACATTTTATACACTTAACGCCAGTTCTTTTCATCTATCTCATTTGGTCTACAGAAAAAGCCAGTTTCAATTGGTGCGATTAGAGGTTTTGTAAAATTACTAACCTGCATTCAAAGCATTGCTGCATATCAGGTAGAGGAAGGACTTGAAGATAGATTGTTTATAACACCCATTTGTGAGCGTTAATTGATCATTTGCTAAAAAGGACACTGATAACTCCTCAGTGTGCTGCTTTTTTTTTGCTTTTTTTTTTCTTTGGTGAGAGAGGACAGACCATGCTAAGCACTTTTAACTGCAGGATGAGGCTCACAGTTGTGAATGGAAGTGGATTTAAGTGACTAAGTTAGTTACTTCTAAAGGGGATCCTAAACATATCTCCTTCTTTGGTATTTTCTCATAGCTGGGCCAGCTAGTTGATATTAGACATCTCTTTATTTGTTGATCAAGGAGCCTAAAGATATTAGCCTGCAGCTGTGAATTCTGCTGGGTAGAAAGACACTATAGTTAGGGATCACAGCAAAACTTAAGTAGTTTTAGTAAAATGCAAATGAAAAGTAGAAACCATTCTATCCTTAAGAAGCCACAGTGTAGATTGGCAAAACAGAAAAGCTGTGAAGCAGAAGTATTTCTATCTTACAGGTGAGGGACTGGTGTGTTGGCTTTCTGAGGTTCATAAAACAAACCTCAGCTAGGATCAAACATAAATGTCTTTACAGTAGAAGGCATCAGAACCAGAACCAAGTTACTCACGAGATCCCAATCTTTGTTGCTGGGAAACCGGAGTACCAAAGCCTCTGGTTTCTTTTTTATTTGAAAATGTTGTCCATTTGAGGATTTTGTGCGTGTATACGGATTCTTCCAGGATCCATCTCTGACCAGGTGAAGATCAGCTGTACTCTACCTGCAAAAGAGACCAGATGCTCGCAGAAACATAGAGCGTACACACAGCTAGAAAATTATATTAAGGTAAGGCAAGTACATCAGATACAGAGATGGGAAGCAAAGCTTAGAATTCTGATCATCTCTCTGGAAGGTAACATGCTTCCCTAATTAACAAGAGCACCTTTCGTTCCACAAAAGCCACTGGTGGTCATATGCCGTTTTTGCTTTTTTAAAAACAAGAAAAAAACATTACAATATCACTTAGAATCCCCAAAATTTTCTTTAATTTTTCATACATTTTGTATGTGTCTACAAATCTGGAGTTGTCTGTTGGTTCTAGTTTGTTTTTTCTCCAACTTGGGCTTTCTATTCTTATAAAGGAAAAAGAAATTTCTCAACCCTTCAAATTGTTCTCAGTATTTGCATAACAAGTATGTAAACAAAACTAAAAATGCTCATTTGTGCCCTCATCGTCCAGTCTCCACTTCAGCAGTGTCATTTAACAAAGTGACACAATATAAAGGGGACTTGTATGAACTGCTCTTTCATTTCACTTTGAAGCAGAAGGGTAAGTTGAATTTCCTTTTAATAAATCACAAGTAACTTTCAGCTAGAAGGCAAACCTGTTCCTTTTCATTTCTGTGGCCATATTTGCATTTTAAAATTAAATTTTACTTTATTAGTATTTTTTTACTTTGCTTATATTAGCAATTTTAGCAGATGAGGAGATGCCTTAAGGACACCAGATTGTAATGACTGATGAAGGTCATTAAAACGGGATTAAAACCGAAGACCTGTTTTTTCCATTTTGTCATATAACTGATCAGAACTCTGACTCTGCATCATAATCCAATTATGAGCTGGATGCAGTAGTCCCTTCAAACGCAATTCCCTGAATGATCGGTGCCAGACAAACAGTACCTGTTGTAATTGCATTTCCTTATCTCAGGGACGTAAGTATTCCTAGCCACCTAAGGTAGGTTTCTGTTAGAGATTTTAATAATCTGTTCTCCGAGTCATTGGCCGGCATTGTCAGAGGTGTCTGCTAGCCTTCAATATAGTAAAGGGTAAACAGCTCGAGACACTTCAGATTCAACACATGAAACTCAACAGCACTTTTAATACAGCACATGTGTTCTCAGGTGGATTTGAAATTTCCACTCGTTCAAGTGGAAATTCTTGACCGTGAGGAACAGACACTGCTATTACTTAAACAGATTCTATATGCAGTGAAATGCTGAAATTTATGACATAATTGAATATTCTTATGCTCAAGGATGTGTCCCACTGAATTGATTTTGATGAGGCATTCCTCTAGAAGAACAAGTGAACTTTGCCCTTACAAATGCTTGGTATTGAGAAAGATTTAGAATAATGTCAAAAGCCTTCTATGATAGAGTCAGTCTGGAAGATGTAAACAATACCTTTTTCAAAAAAACTCAGTCCAGTTTTAGTGTATCCATTTAATAAATGGTAATAATAATAATAAACTGATAATTTGATTCTGCTTGGCTTATATGCTTTGAAACAAATACCTTGTTTTAACTGATGGACCCAACTGTTAATAATCTTGCAGCATACAAGCCAACCAAGATTTTATTCTCAACTATAAGTGGAGCTGGATTTAGAACATATTATGTGTCAATGAAAATGATCATGTCAATTCTGAATGTTTTTAAGGATGGAACTTTTTAAGAGAGTGTAGTACATGATCCTCTCTAATTAGTGCCAAAAGAAAAGAGAAGTCATGGGTATTAAGTTATATGTTTTGTATGAGAGTCAACCCATCAGGCTCATCTCATTAGAAAGGGACACCTATTCTGACATCTTGAGCCTTTCTTTGTCTCTCATTATTTTGACTGAATGATGCCAGTAACTGGATATCTCTATGCCGTAGTGTCTTATAGTCCATCAGTTCAGGTTTTGTAACTGCACAGCATTACCAGTGCTGCATGCCCACTAGCTGCATTGTAAACCCATGATCTATAGTTCCAGAGTACTTTTTAGTCATGGTATCTTGGCACTGAGATTATAACCCTACTTAATGTTATATCTGAAAGGATAAAATGAGATGAATAAGCCTATTGCCAACCAGCAAAAATGCATTTTCTACAAGACTAACTCTGACATTTTCAAGCTTGTGGAATTTTGTTCAAAACAAGATAGGAATGTCAATTGAGCTATAAAATTTTGCCCATGTGTAAAACACTCTATCAGTCTGCTTATTTCAAATAGGTGTGCTTAAATAGTACCGTCCTTAAAGAGATTGCTAACTAACTAGCTCCAAACCACCACGACAACCGCCATAACAGATTGTGCCTTTCGGGTTGGTAGCACATGCATCTATGTTTCCTTGAGTGATTATAGCCCTTACAGACAACTAATGGCTTAAGCATGATCAGTTACATCCGAGCCCATCATTTCTCAAGGATTAATCCAACAAATAGTCGGTGATAGCAAAAAGGATGATTTGTCTTCACTACTCCCAAATGTGTAGCTGTCATTCTATAATGAGCATACCACTCTGTATCAGTCTAGAAACAGTTTTGTCTATAAGCTATGCAAAGGTAGCAAAATAAATCTGGGAAATCTCTTATACCTAAACTATAGACTTTATTTAAACAAGGAAAGAATGTGAATTTCAAGAAGGGACAAATGGGGGGAAAAAACCAAAAAATGTTCAATTACATAAGCCAATGCCTACAATTTTTTATTGAATCATTGCCTAAAAAATATGTGTTTTATCTTACAGCTGGCCTGAGCAATCATGTTGTCTTACTCATCCTACATGCTCACCGCAGTGGCTGCTTTGCTAGTGACTTGCCATGTGCTGTGTAAATGTCCAGGAATTCCTGAGCTACCTGGTATCTCTGGGCTGCCTGGAAGAGATGGTCTGAAAGGACAGCCACATCTACCAGGTAAGTAAACTTCCCTTTTTTGCAACAAATCCTTGTCATGAAGGCTGCATGAATAAAAACAGTTATCACAGAAGGATATACGCCCTTGAGGAAGCAGCTGCATTAAGCAGAGAAGGGGAAATTGAATGGAGGAAATTGCCAGTTTGGTGGGGTTTTTTTTTCCCCTAAAAGGTAGGCCTGCTTTCTCTTGTGGGAGAAGAGGGAAAATGAACAGGTTATCAACACTTGTGGTGCTTTTCCATTGACTTTCCAAAGGGAATTGTTTCTTGCACAGCAGAAGCTTTTTTTTTTTTTTTTTTTAAGTATGAAGAAAATGTTGTTCCAGTATTTACAATTGTAATTTAAGTGGTTTCTGGCATGTTTCTCTAGTATTCAAAGATGGTATGTGCAAAAGTAGTCTGGTAAGGAACACATTTTGCACTGTGTAATTTTCTTTCTATGTAGAAATGCTTTCTCCAGGTCCATTACCAAGGCTAAAGCACTATCAAAGTAATTCATAGATGTAACACATTTCAGTGTGAGATCAAGTTCTCTTTCATCCTGGAGTTCCCAGGATAGGCATCAATTGGAAAGAAAATTATGCTTCTCTTTTCCAGGTCTCACAGGACTCTCTGGAAGCTTTATGGGGCCTCCTGGAAGAGATGGTCTTCTTTGGCTGCAAGGTGAGAAAGGAGAAAAAAAGGATATTGGACTACATGTGAAAAAGGCTGATGCCCATGTAATGTTCTGTCAGTCAAATGGACTCTCTTTATTGGGTCAAATAAGTTGTTTTTTGCTGACTGTGAAGTGCAGAAAGAGTTGCAACATTGCAATTCTGAGGGAGGGAGATGCAGGAATATTTTGTGCTTCCACATTGCCATTTGTTTGAGTTGTGAATAATGGGAAGATGATCATGGGAGCATACTAGTAACTTTATTCTACATGTAGGAGCTTTGTTACCCATGGAAATTTGTATGAAAAAAAGTATCTACCTTTACAGTGAGTTTCCATCTTTAGTAAGCAGTGCTGGATGGACTGGATTTCACACAATCTATGCAGAAACCCTCCTATACCAGTGTTTATGGTTTCCATTAAAGCCACAAAGCATCCACACAGCAGATTAAAAAGAAAATGGTATGGTGCCATAGGAACTGCTCCCTCCCCAAAATCTCCCTTGTTCCTGTTCACTAACAATTATTAGAATGAAACAAACTCTCTTTGGCAAAGGCACTTTCACAGACATGGCAAACATAAGGCTTCAATCCAGAAAAATTCATTTTCTTCTGTGCAGAGGGACATTATCAGCATTTCAGAGAGTTACAGGTTTTTGTTTGTTTGCTTTAATATACGTTAACAAACAATGTGGAAAAAAATACTGGGAAAATATTTATTTTACACCAGATGTTGTTTAAAAAAAAAAAAATACACTGTGTGCTCATTAGTTTTGGAAAATGACTAGTTTTATCCAATGAATTGTTCCTATCAGCAGAGCCTAGTTTTGCTTGATTGTCTAACTTTTGTTTTTAATCTGTGTGGGTCTACCTGATTCTCTGGACACTGAACTCTGCAATGTTTTAGTAAATTTGAAACACCAGCTTTCCAGACTTGAAAGCTGTAATTTTTCCCATTTTTACTTTTTCAGCTCACAATCAGTTTTAAGTGCAATAGGCAAAGTTAATTATAGAATCATGACTGGCAGGAAAGAAATGGCACCTGAAGAATGGTACCACATCCCAAAACTCCATTTTCTTATCCAATGAGATCAGGACTTACTTTCCTTGGAGAAGCAGATTTCTCTCAGGAACACTAATGTGCATTTATTCAAATTTGATTTATTAAAAAAAAAATATTCTAACTGCTGTTGCACTTTCCACGTGGATTCATGGGAACTCCTCAGCCTTGTACCATGTTGCTAGCATTGCTATCTGTCAGAAACCAGATTGTTAAAGGTAGTAAATTGATCCTCTTTGGAGAGTACACACAATATAATAAGGCTGATAGTGTATGTAGAAAATGTTAGTGGGGCATCCTTGTCTTGGAGAAGACAATGACAGATGGTGACAAGCAGCATAACAGTATACCAACCAGTGAGTTTGTAAAATTTTTAAGATCTTTATTCCTCTTCATTCTTTGCTCTCAATTCTTGCCCTCTACTCTGTTCCTCTTACGACTTTTAATTTTCTCTTCTCTTCATTTCTCTTTCTTTGCTTTCTCATCAATACACCGTAGGAAATCTAAAAAGCTAACTAGTTTTTTTCTTTTCATGTTTTAGTGCTTGCTTTGAATGGGAAAATAAGAAAAGTAGGAGAGAAAATACTTGCCAGCAATGGGAAGGAAGTTGATTTTGCATCTGCACTAGAATTCTGTGAAGAGGCTGGAGGAACTCTTGCAACTCCCATGAATGAGGAGGAGAATGAAGCTATTTTGGGTATTGTGAAACAGTATAACCGATATGTTTACTTGGGCATTAAAGAGGGTGAGGCTTCAGGTCAATCACTCTACTAACATGATCTTTTATTAGCCAAACCAAAGTCACTTATTCATTTACACAGGTCTCCAACTGGGTTTGGAGTATTCGATTCCTTTAGTTAATCAACAATTTATCTCCACCACATTTGTATTTACAAAATGGCTATACAAATCTCTTGTTAAAATCCTTAACGTGTAAAATCTTACAAACTGCTTAACACAATATATGACCTGTTTCTAAACAGATTTAGACTTCAAGACACTTGGGTGCTTTTGAACCATTTAAGTAAAATAAGATAGTTTTTTCAGTCAAAAGCTAATTTTTGTTACATCAATAAGCAAACCAGCTAGGCTAAGTCTCAGAGTCCAATTTCTCTCTGTTTAAGCCATTCCTATTGGGGGGGGGAGTATCAAACCGCACATGCTGCTTCTTTATAAAAAAACTGTGTCCATGTTCTTTTACATGGACTGTAATCACCTAACTTTGATGAACTTCAGAGAAAAAAAGTCCAGTCTCAACCATCATATGTTGAAGAAATAAAATTCTCTAATAAAAGCCATATTCTACAGACAGCCTTGGAATGTGTTTGTGTCTCATGGGATTCGTATGTGGTAATTAAAATCCTGGTGAAGGTACGTACTCAGTAGAATGTTACTTGATTAATCTTTGCAGTTCCATGGAGGAACAGAAAAGTAGCCAGAAATCATTATTTTTTCCTTTTAGATGGCTTGTGTGTGTGTGTATAACCCTATGAATTTAAACCCTCAAATGGTGTTTAAAACACTTGTAAGCATTTCAGTCTATTTTTTTGTGAAAGACCCAAATTCTGCATTTATGTATTAATGGATTTTTTTTCTGAAAAATAGACAGAGAGGTCAGGCACAAGAAGAAACAGAATAAATTGTTTCTCTGTTCTGTTATTATAGGATAAATAATTTTGATAAAATCTTTCCTTAAGAATGCAGTGGGCAAAAATAATCCCTGGTGCATAATGACCAGACCAGGAAAAATCCAGGTTAGTCTTTTTTTTTCCTTAATTTATAATAATTTGCTACAGAAAAGCAATTTAACGGTAAGATTTTGAATTCAGAAAATAAATTATTCACTCCTGAAATGCTATAAAAGCCGATTTTGAGAGTTAGGATCTTTGTACACATTAAAAGGTCACAAAAATTCAGTCCCTTCTGAAGCAAATGGGTTGCATGTCACACAAGAGAAATTTAATACAATTGTTATTACAGTATATTTAACAGTAAGAGTTTTGTCTGGCCATAAAAATGAGGGATATTGATTTCAGAAGGAATTGTCTCTAGTCTAGAGCGATATCCGCTTTTATAACTATATAATTTAATTAGCTGTTTTAGCTTAGCAATACTATTAGCAGTTTTGAGCTTTCAAAAACCTCTCCCTCAGCCCCATCAACCCCTACCACGTGTAAAGAAATCGACCTTAGATTACAGAAAATAAGCCCCTTTCTTTTGGTGACTACTTGATTTTTGTAGAAAGTTGATTAGACCCCAAACCCAATGGTTCTTAGGAAAATTGAGTTCAAATTCAACATTATGTGAACATAGTAACTGGCAGGGTGTAACATAGGCTAGCAGGGCTATCTTATCTTGTAAAAATTGTGACAAGTGCCTCCTTTATTTATTTATTTTTAATTTTGAAGCCAGATTTAAGGAATAATTATGTTATTCCTCTGTCCTTTTCCAGAGAAAAGATGCTATGTGGTGGAAAAATAACAGTACTTACTGCCACAATATCCTAGCAATGATCCATTACAAAGCAGGGTATATATGTATATATAAAGAATATACATATATAATATAATGTGTAAATAATATA